TGTAGCGGTACGATTTCAGAATGAGCCTGGGTTGTTTTTAACAGTGTGTGATCATTTATTGTTAAAGTGTTCTAGAAATTTTAAGTATATGAATTATACACACGATTTTCAAGCAGTATTACTGTGATTCCAGGTGTATTTTCCCGTTGTTATTTTTTTTTTCTTAGGACTTTTAAAAAAGACTTGACAGTCTGGCCCACTTCTGTTGATCTCGTCAATCTAGCAACCTGTGCTTGCGTCTGTTTTCCAACACCTAGTTCAACCACATGGTGTCAAACCTACATACTGCACCTTTAACAAAAGCAAATGTAGTCAAGTAATTAAAATTGAAGCTCACAACTTGTCTTAAGGCCTTACTCAACCTTACTCAAAAAAAAAACTCAGCAGTAGATTGGAGTTTGGACACCCCTGCTTTAACAGAACACTTCACGTTGTTTTGGAAATAGGCTCATTTTACAACTCCTCTAGAGTTAAACAGTTTACCATTTTTGAATCCATTCAAGCGATCTCCAGGCGGGAGCACTTTTAGCTTAGCATAAGTCATTGAACCATATTAGACCATTAGCATATCACTCAAAATATCCAAAAAGAGTTTTAATAATATTCCTACTCAAAGCTTGAGTATTCTAGTATTATATCATGTACCGTGATAAAGGAAATGTTGCTATTTTCTAGCCCGATATTCTCCGTAATAAGAGCAAGCGTTGCTGCCAGACCAACACAATCTCACGGCAATTTGTAACTTTTTCATTTAGTGACTAATTCGTATGAATTCGTACGATCTAATTCATACAATTTAATACGATTTGCTCATCCCATAATGACGGTTGGGGTTAGGGGTGGGGTTAGGTGCCACGTAAATCGTACCATTTTGTACGACTGAACTCGTACGAATTCGTACGAATTAGCCACTAAACTGGCAAAACGTAAAATACTTACATTTTCTCGTGAGATCAGGCTGGCCAGACCATGGCTGTAGCAGGTGCACTGACATTAAGCAGCACCTGAGAATAGTCCCACCTGGGTAATATCGCTGCGTAAACTATCCCTTTAAGTATGATAAGCCAAACAATTACAATAAATACACATAAACCATTTAAAATAGGCTTCTTAAGCTCTAGAATTGTATTATAAATATAAGTAAATCTAAATCTAATCATCGTCCTGATCTCAGGAGGTTATCTTGGAGCGCTGCATATATCAGACTAATTGAGAGTGGATGTGAAAATCCCATTAGGTCCATTTAATAGATTTAACATGTGTACTTGCCACCTGATAGCTTGAGGCTGTACGATCACAAGACCGGGGTGCAAATTACAGGACATATGGGATGTTATAACACCCTCCAGAGTAAGTCAAGACAAAAGGTTTGGGATACATAAACCTGTTTTATTTCTACACTGTTTGACTATTTTGTTTGATTGAAAGAACTATTAGGTATTCCTGGATTTACAGTATCACACATCTTGAATGATTTGAATATTGTTAAATCTGTTATGAGATGATGTGCTGACAGCAATATAATGAACAGGTGTCATATCTGTTTATGTCATAGCTGTTATTATATCATGGATTCTTAGCATAGCTAGAACATTGTTTTGACCAAACATACCCAGCTAAAAAATCCAGCTTAAACCAGCCTAGTTGGCTGGTTTTAGCTGGTCGACCAGGCTGGTTTTAGAGGGGTTTTGGCCACTTCCAGGCTGATTTCCAGCCATTTCCAGCCTGGTCTTAGCTGGTCAGGCTGGAAAATGACCAGCTACATCCAGGTAAAACCAGCTTGACCAACCTGTTTCAAGCTGGACATAGCTGGTTTTGGCTGGGCTCCCAGCCTGGCTAGGCTGGTCAAGCTGGTTTTAGCTGGATTTAACTGGTTTCAGCCTAGGCTGGTTTAAGCTGGATTTTTCAGCAGGGTAAGCCAAGACTGAAATGCTATTCGTTTTATAATAGTATAACACTTATGTTCCACAAGCAAAAACTCCATTAAATACTTGAGTTGAACATCTGTACACATTAATTCATGTTATTGATGAATTAAAACAAGTCATCTGACAACAAATACTTGAGAAAATTAGTAAAATATTTAAAAACAATGTTCCTCAAAGAAAGACAGGAACACATTTGGATATTTCACCTTCACTGGTGCATAACATCATTAGAAGATTCAAGGAATCTGGAGGGATTAGGACAAGGGAGCTAGCCTAAGCCGAATAACCGTCGTCTCCGATCTCTTAGGCAGCACTTCATCAAGAATCCTCATTCATCTGAGAGCAATATGACCACATGGGCTCAGGACTACTTTGGCAAATCTTTGTCTAGTACCACAATACGTAGATACATCCACAAATGTCAGTTACAACTCTTATGTTCGAAAAGGAAGCCCTATGTTAACAGTGTCCAGAAGCGCTGTTGACTTCTATGGGCTCAGAGGCATCTGGGGTGCACCATCACACAGTGGAAACGTGAACTGATGAATCAGTTTTAGAGGTATTTATTAGGGAGAAATGGGCATCTTGTGCTTTGGAACAAATAAGAAAAGGATCATCCAGACTGTTATCAGCAGCACGTCCAGGGTCTGCCACTGTATGGGGTTGTGTCAGTGCCCTTTGCAAAGGTAACTTGCACTTCTGTAATGGCACCATTAATGCTGAAAAACATGGGAATTCATGTTAAAATTTCAAACATCTGATATTAAATGAATTTTAATTTAAAAATAAATTTGTTCTTTGTTAAAACTACATATTTACATTGAGCTGAAACAACACAATTCTTGAGTTTTTTGGGAGGGACAAATTGTTTTATGTCCAATCCACTTAAATTTGCAAAAACTAAGTTAACTATATGGCGGTTCATTCCGCTGTGGCGACCCCTGATTAATAAAGGGACTGAGCCAAAAAGAAAATGAACGAATGAAGTTAACTTAATTCCTTCATGTTGTCGCAACACAAATCGATTGTGTGGAACCCAGCATTTACTTGTGTTGGGGTAAATATGGTCAAACCATATAACCTATGGCCTATAACCTTGATGAAATTAATGCTAAATTGAATAAAGATTTAAAAGCTAGAAAATTGTGTAGAATTTAGGTCAATAAAATTGGTCAAACACAAGACATTTCTTTTATATGGAAAAATACATTAAAAAAGAGATTTGGTCACTGAAAAAAATTATTCAAAGATGATTCCTTGGATTTACTCAATTTTTTTACGTTAAGTGGTTGTAAACAATTTATGTGTGTTGAATTTAAACAAACAAATTAAGCTGAACATTATTAAACTTAATTTGTTTGTTTAAATTCAACACAAAGAAATTGTTTGCAACAGTTCTGCATGCAACACTTTTTTCAGTATACATAAAAGCCTATTTAGTCAAGACATCTGCTTTAAGGTTTCAATAACATTCACTCAAACAAATCTGCAGATGTTGCCGTTTGGTCAAACTACTTATTTAAACTCAGCTGAAACAACACAATTATTCAGTTTGTTTTGGGGGGACAACTTAATTTTTTTATGCTCAAAACGCTTAAATTTGCGAAAACTAATAAGTTAACTTAATTCCTTTATGTTGTCTTAACACAAATCGATTGTGTGAAATCCAGCATTTATTACAGTGTTGGGATAAATATGGACAAACCCGACCATTGGTTAATAACTCAAATTAAATGACTCTTTTAGCGCATCTGTTGGGTTTATCCATATATAACCCTAAAATACAATCCAACATTTTTTTAGTGACCTAAAAATCCAAATATGAAGAAATCAAAACAAACAAAACGCAAACATACAAATTAAACAATATGCTTTCATGAACTAAATACTAAAGTAATATATGGCCTATAACCTTGATGAAATTACTGATAAACTGAAGACAGAAAGCTTTAAAAGCTATAAAATTGTGTAGCATTTAGGTTATTAGATGTGTCAAAGACAAGACTATTAAAGACAAGTAATTTGGTTTACACAAAAGCCTATTGTCATGTTGTCTGAACCCAGCATTTATTACAGTGTTGGGGTAAATATGGACCAAACCACTGGTTAGTTATTAAAAATAAATTACTTTTTTTTTTTTTTTTTTTTTTTGCACAACAGTTGGGTTTATTCACAGTTGCACATTTGATCCTATAATATACAACCCAACATGAGTGAATTCTAAAAATCCAAATATGGAAAAAAGCCAAACAAAAAAAGAAAACATACAAAAGGAGAGTATCTATTCATGATCGAAAAAAAATAATAGTAAATTAAAAAAGATAGTAAATTATTTTAAATAAGGGTGTCATGGTGGCACAGTGGCTAGCACGATCGCCACAGAAAAAGATTGCTGGTTCAAGCCCCGGCTGGGCCAGTTTGAATTTCTTTGTGGAGTTTGCATGTTCTCACCGTGCTGGCGTGGGTTTCCTCCGGGTGCTCCGGTTTCCCCCACAGCCCAAAGACATGTGCTAGATGAAATGAATAAGTTAAATTACCCGTAGTGTATATGTGTGAATGCAAGACTGTATGGGTGGTTCCCGGTGATGGGTTGCAGCTGGAAGGGCAACTGCTGCGTAAAACATATGCTGGATAAGTTGGCGGTTCATTCCGCTGTGGCGACCCCTGATTAATAAAAAGACTAAGCTGAAGGAAATTATTTTTTCAACCATTGGAATTTCAATTATGTACATCTTTCTTTCATTCATTTATTTTCCTTCGGCTCAGTCCCTTTATTAATCTGGGGTCGCCGCAGGGGAATGAACCGCCAACTTATCCAGCGTCTGTTTTACACAACGGATGCCCTTGCAGCTGCAAAACAGTAAACATACACACTCATACACGGACAATTTAGTTTATTCAATTCACTCAATTCGATATAAATGAACACATATATAACGTTAAAGCAGCTCTAATTTGCATATTGCTAAACATTTCTTCCCCATATATATTTCCCATATGTATACAGTACGCGCGGTCTGGAGTTTTGAACGCACGCGCGCTGCTTGCCGTCTCGCCGCAGGCTGTGATTGGTCAGCACCTGCTCACCTCCTTCATCCAAACTGACACGAGTTGGAGGAATTACGTTCAGCATCAATCCCTTCCGATCCTCACTCCGCGCCTGCTTCTCCCTCAACCGCATGTGCTTCGTTTGAACTGCGGTTATGCTCCAGTGGTCTGGCAGTCCGAGACAGCGCTACATTCAACAGCGTTCATCACCGTCGCGAGACATGCGTGCGCAACTGACTCTAGGAGTGTTTATACTGTTTCTAGCTGTGCGGCAAACACACACGACTGAATCCGCCAGCGCTCATGACACATCACAGGAGAAATCCCTCAACATCCACAAGAAAAGACTGTCTCTGCAGAACACAGGTTAGTATTGACAGACTCTGCGCAGTTCATGTAGCCTACTTGTGTGCTTTGTGCTTGTTTAAACTGTCGGTATTAAAGCCTCTTCAAACTTTTTGGGTAATTCTTCAACTACGGCCACTTTTAAGTCATTTGATCATATATCCAAATATATATAATTTTGTTCAAATTCATTTTTTCTTTGTCAAACTAACAATAAAACCTGCTTTTAAAAAAGTACTAGCTTTCTATTATATATTTTTTTATATTATTCAACCTCCTTTTAGGTGTCAAAATCACTATTTTCACCTTGTCGCACACCCAGAGTTTTTAACTTAAACAAAGAAAACAACATTTTAAAATATTATTTTTCTATTAATGTATCCTAATTAAGCACTATAGTGAAATCATTTACATATTTTATAGTTATTAATGTGAAACTATTAATTATTAATATTTTTTATACAAATTATAGCTGTCGCACAGTATCAGTGTCATTTCCACCACAACACTGTCATGTCGCTTTAAAGTGTGAAAGATTGTTTTGGTGGTTTCTATAAAAATGAATAGTGCCATCTGAGAACATGACACCATTTTCATATTTAAAACATACATATTCATACTTAAAACAATACTGCCTAACTATGTTAAAACCTATTCATTGTACATAAAGCTGTCAACATTGCCAATTTTACATTGTCCTGTTTTTTTGTGGAGTATGTTGTTGTATTTTGCACTGTCTGTATTTTGCACTGTCTGGAGCCAGCACCTAAGCTTTTCACTCATCGTAGCACACGTGCTGCTGATGATGTGACAATAAAAGTGATTTGATTTGATGTTGATGTTCAAGATGGAGGGAATACATTTTTTATGAACAACACTTGAGAAAAAATCAAGGTAAATATTGCTTGATCAGGACATACATTTATTCTACATCATTCCAAACATGCTGTACCTTTCAAGATGTTTTTAAAAACCAAACAAAATGAAGGGAAATGAGAGTGTTTTGTATACATGAAAGGCTAGCATCAATTCAAAGCTAATCGCTGAAGCTATTTTAAATTTTTTAACAATAAACTGTTGAAATGTCATTTCCACCATTGTCATTTCCATCACCACCAACATTTTAAAAATATTAAAAAGTTCTCATCACCAGTGGTGGAAAGAGTACTGAAAAATCATACTTAAGTAAAAGTACCATTGCCTAAAAATGTAGTGTGAGTAAAAGTATCTGTTGTAAATATTACTCAAAGTATGAGTAAAAGTAGCCTTTTCTAAAGTACTCAAGAGTAGTGAGTTACGCTGTCTAAGGCTGGTGCATTTACATGTAATTTGTGGATGTGTGTAAACGTAACATTCTGTAGTGCATTTAGTTATTGCCCAGCAGGCACACACTTTCATAAGACATTAATATTAGGTTAGATTTAGGTTGTGATGTCAGGTGACCACAATTCAATGTCTAGCCAGCGTCTAAAGATAACGTTATTTCGATGTCCAATAGCGACATCAAATGACGTTGATATTTAGTTGACTTTAGGTTGTGTTGGAAAGTAACCAAAATCCAACATCGAGCCAAAATCTTAAACCAACGTCATATTGATGTCAAATACGGGCATTTATTCATCAGGTCTGGCAACCAAAATCCAACGTCTGATAAACATCATAGTAGTCACGTCCACAACATTAAGCTGAAACATCATTAATGATATTTGGTGGGTTTTATGTTGGACGTTGGCCTGACCTTGAGTTCTGACGTCAACATGATTATCATTTCCAAACAAAATGCAATGTCTCCACGACACTGGGGTACAACATCATTCTAACGTCATGTTGACGTCTTGCATCTGCTTGGTGTTTAAGGTCATTTCGGTCATCATATAGTAAACATCCATTATCTTCTCATCAGTGACATGCATCTAAACAGTCTCTGGGTCAATGCGTGAGGCAATTTTGGACGTGTTTTTGGACACTTTTAATGCTTCCAAACAGTTTGTTGCAGTTATAAATCGCCCATGTCTTCAGGTAGCTCATTATGTGGCGATTTACCTTCTGTGTTTGATTTGATTGGACAGGAATCACAGGACTGATTTCTCTAATCCTAATAGACAAGAAAAATAAAGTAGTGACTGCAGGTTGAAGGAAAGTAGTGGGAGTAAAAGTACTGATATTGCACTAAAAATGTACTCAAGGAAGAGTAAAAGTAGGGGTGGGTGATTTTTCCGATTTTTTTGATAAATTCGAATTTACATTTTTAGACGATTTAATTTAGAATCAAATCGAGATATTGCGATTTTTAAAAAATATATATTTAATACATTATAATGGCACCAATGCGCTTTGGTTCACTCTATGAAGCAGGAAGCACACCAGAAGCGCCTCTCGGCGCCGCGCCGCGCAGCACCACGCAACGTCACGGATTTTAGAATTCTAAACAGGTTATATACACACCGGCGCCTCCCAGCCACGATTCACGAAGCAGTTCACATTTCAGCCGTGCCACAGAGCGCCATCTGATTAGTTTCATGTTACATATCATATAAGCTCATGCTCTATTTAAAATACAAATTCAGTTGATTTTCTAATATGCTCTTAACCAAATTAAAATGTAATGTAAATGTAATGTAATGTGTATTTATATAGCGCATTTATTGTGTATGGCCATACACCCAAAGCGCTTTACAATCATGAAGGGGGGTCTCTCCACACCACCACCAGTGTGCAGCATCCACTTGGATGATGCGACAGCAGCCACAGGATAACGGCGCCAGTGCGCTCACCACACACCAGCTATTGGTGGAGTGGAGAGACATGCAGTGATCGAGCCAATTCGGTGGAAGGGGATGATTGGGAGGCCATGATCGTAAGGGCCGATAGAGGGACTTTGGCCAGGACACCGGGGTTACACCCCTGCTCTTTCACGAGAAGTGCCATGGGATTTTTAATGACCACAGAGAGTCAGGACCTCGGTTTAACGTCTCATCCGAAAGACGGCTCCCACTGACAGTATAGTGTCCGCTTCACTTTTACTGGGGCATTAGGACTCACACAGACCACAGGTTGACTGCCCCCTGCTGGCCTCACTAACACCACTTCCAACAGCAACCTAGTGTTCCCTAGTGGTCTCCCATCCAGGTACTGACCAGGCTCAGCCCTGCTTAGCTTCAGTGAGTAACCGGTCTTGGGCTGCAGGGTGATATGGCTGTGGCTACATTATATGGCTAAAACAGAATTTTAGAGTGTGACAGGTTCAGCATACAACAAATATATTTCATTGAAAAATGTATTATTATTATATATATATTGTGGAAAGAGTGGTTAAACTAGATACAAAAATGATCTTAGACAATGTTTGACTGCCATCATTAATTTAATTTTGAAATTAAAAGCTGTATATGGAGATGTGGTGGCATTGACATTTGTTCAGTTCACGATGGAAAAACATGTTTCTCTTCTTATCTAAGTTTGTCCTCTTACAGATCTTAAAACTAGACAAATTGTTTAAACTTATGAGGCTGTGTTACGTTCATTTTGAACACGTTTTTTTACTCAACTTAACAAGGCTAAACGTGTCCGTATAGTTGAAGAATGGCCCATATATGTTCTGTCAAACAACTTCTCCACATAATGTCATTCCGATTAGGCCATCTGTATGCTCTACCAAATGGTTGACCATATTGTGACTGCCTTAAATAATGACTGTTAAATAGGTTAAATATTTTAAATAGGTAATGGTTTACACACACAGCATTGTGTTTGTAAGATTGAAGTTGTACTCCAACATAGTAGAAACGAAAATCAGATTGACGTCAGAACACAATGTCAGGCCTATGTCAATGTTCAACATCCAACCTAAAATCAACCAAATATCAACGTCTAATGATGTTTAAGCTTGACGTTGTGGGGACGTTACCACTATGATGTCACTATGATCAGATGTTGGATTTTGGTTGCCATACCTGATTAATAAATGTCAGTATTTGACGTCAATGTGACATTGGTTTAAGATGTTTGCTCAGCGTTGGATTTTGGTCACTTTTTCGAACAACCTAAAATCACGCAAATATAAATGTCATTATTGGACATCAAAATAACGAAAACACTTTACAATAAGGTTCATTAGTTAATGCATTTACTAACATGAACTAATCATGAACAACACTTGTACAGCATGTATTAATCATAATTTAACATTTACTAATGCATTATTAACATTCAAGTCCATGTTTGTTAACATTAGTTAATGCAACGAGTTAACATGAACTAACAATGAACTACTGTATTTTCATTAACTAACGTTAACTTACATGAACAAATACTGTAGTAAATGTACTGTTCATTGTTTGTTCATGTTAGTAAATGCATTAATTAACATTAACTAATGAACCTTATTGTAAAGTGTGACCATAACGTTGTCTTTAGATGCTGACTAGACAAAATTGTGGTCACTTGACAACCTAAATCTAACCTAATATTTACATCTTATGACGTCTTATTGGCGTCTTATTCTATGTTTCTATCCAAAAATGCGAATAAACTTCATGCGCAAAACTGGATTATCGCATAAAAGTTGTGCGAATGAAGCATCGTTTACATCCAACGAGTCAAAGCGAACAAAATCGTCACTTCCTGATTAACTGTCGCCAAATATCAACAGTAAAAACTGCATTTGCTGCAGTAGGAGAAGCTGCATCAATCTTTTCTAAATGAATGCGCCTCAGAAGACAATCCCGACAAGCAGTGAGCGCGCAGCGGCGTTTGAAGGTGTCAGTCGTGGAGCACAGGCGCTCTTGATTCTGGAGGTCATTAATAATATAATAACATTAATACTGAAATGGTAAGGCGTTTTATAATGACCAAAACAGCATTTCAGATGTTTTATAATGTGCTCAGCCTGACGTTTTATCCATTCACGCACATTTTAAGCATCACATGATCTCTTTTAGATTAGATTAGATTAGATTAGATTCAACTTTATTGTCATTACACATGTACAAGTACAATGCAACGAAATGCAGTTTAGGTCTAACCAGCAGTGCAATAGCAGCAAGTGCAGGATACAGGAATAAGTTATAAAGTGCAGTTATAGAAAACTATGGTGATATTTACAGATGGATGTACTATGAACATTATATACAGGTTGGATAAGCTATGAACAGATTTACAATATATGAATATATGTGCAGGTTGCTATCAATAATCAGTAGTGTGCAGATAGATAAACATGATTACAAGTGTATATGTTACAATATATGAATATATGTACAGGGATAGATAAACATGATTACAAGTGTATATGTAACAATATATGAATTTATGTACAGGTTGCTATTAATAATCAGTAGTATGCAGATACATAAGCATGATTACAAGTGTATATGTATAGTGGGTGTGTACATAATTACAATGCCCATATGCAGTGGGTACGTACAGTTCAATAAGTAAACAGTTCAATGTGGTGCAGTGAATGTGCAAATTTTAAGTGTGCAAATGTTAAACAGTGCAGTTATTGCGTGGAGTTTAAGTTAGAGGAGAATGGGGGGTGTATTGGGGGGGCAAAAGAGTCAGTGTGGGGCAGAGTTCAGGAGGGAGACAGCTCTGGGGAAAAAGCTGTTCCTCAGTCTGCTGGTTTTTGTCCAGTGGAGCCTGAAGCGCCTGCCGGAGGGCAGGAGAGAAAACTGTCTGTGAGCAGGGTGAAAGGTGTCCTTCAGAATACTGCGTGCTCGGCGCAAACAGTGTTTCTTCTGGAATAAAATCACATGACCTTTTTTAATGCGCATGCTGGAGTTTGTGCGGTAAAAGTGTTTCCATCGCAGTTTATGCGCATCTTTTCTTATTGAATAAAAAGTTTACCCTACCCAGTTAGGCGCATACGTTTTTAATGCGCATTTTCAAAATTTATGCGCATCATGGCGTTTCCATCAACTGTTTTTTATGCGCATTTGCAAAATGCGCATAAAATATGTGGATGAAAACATAGCTTGTCTGCTGGGCAATATCTAGATGCACTACAGAATGTTACGTTTACTCACACATGCACAAATTACATGTAAACGCATCAGCTTTTAACAGCGTAAAACTCACTACTCTTGAGTACTTTTGAAAGGGCTACTTTTTACTCATACTTTGAGTGATATTTATAACAGATACTTTTACTCTACTCGCACTACATTTTGGACAAGTATTGGTACTTTTACTTGAGGATAATTTTTTAGTACTCACTTTTTCCACCACTGGACACTTTTAATGCTTCCAAACAGTTTGCTGCATTCATAAGGTAGTTAAGAGGTAGTTCATTATGATGCGATTTACCTTCTATGTGTGATTTGATTGGACTGGAATCAGAGGACTGACTTTTCTAATCCCAATAGACAGGAAAAAATTAAGTAGTGACTGCCGGTTGAAAGGAAGTAATGGAGTAAAAGTACCGATACTGCACTAATAATGTACTCAAAGGGAAAGTAAATGTTCACATTTTTAAAACTACTTAATAAATTACAATCCCTGAGAAAAAGTATTCAATTACTGCAATTTAAGTTATTGTTTTGTGTTACTTTACACCACTGGCTCCCTATATTGTTTACCATGGTACTTTGATATGGTCTAATACAGGGGTCACCAACCTTTATGAAACTGAGAGATACTTCTTGTGTACCAATTAATGCGGAGGGCTACCAGTTTGATAAACACTTCTCAAATAACAAATTTGCTCAATTTACTTTTAATTACACTTTATTTTTTTGGTAATAATGAATGATATTCATCCATGTGAAGACACTGATCATGTTAATGATTCTCACAAAAGTTATCAACAATGATTTCACAGGGTAGGAAATACCCTGTATTTAATGTATCAATGTGCAACACTTTATTTTTATATATCTCTGCAAATATTTACATTTTTAAATGATTACTTCTATATTAGATGAAGCTTACTGGTAAGTGGCGCTATGGTGAGGTTTTTTTAGAACAGGCCTGCGGGCAACACATGTGATCCTCGCGGGCTACCTGGTGCCCGCGGGCACCATGTTGGTGACCCCTGGTCTAATATCACATGTTCTGTAGGTATGAGTTTAAAACAACGTTAGCACTATTTAATTGCCTGTGAACAATGTTGTAGGCTTTTTTGATACTCATTGGCTGCTAATATGATTCTAAGTCAGAATGTATGAATATAAAAACCAACTTTACCTAAATTATGTTTTTTAGATTCTTTTAATGAGTTTTTTTAACACAAAAAAGATATTTTGAATAATGTTAAAAACCGGTAACCATTGACTTCCATAGTATTTGTTTTTTCTATGAAAATAAATGGTTACAGGTTTCAAACATTCTTCAAAATACTTTTTTTTATGTTTAACAGGACAAACAAAGTAAATGATGGCAGAACTTGTATTTTTGGGTGAACTATCCCTTTAAGCTTTAATGAAAAGCGCTGCGTTTCTAAAGTCCACGTCACAAACAAAGCTGTATGAACCAAACAGAAATAGGACATTATTCTTAACTTTTTCAATTACAGTCTATCAAACCATGTTCAGGGTACCCATTGAGACATGTTGAATTATGTTATAGTTTTTTTTTTACACTCACCGGCCACTTTATTAGGTACACCTTACTAGTACCGAGTTGGATCCTCTTTTTTTGTCTTCAGAACTGCCTTAATCCTTTGTGGCATAGATTCAAGAAGGTACTGGAAAATTCCTCAGAGATTTTGGTCTGTATTGACATGATAGCATCACGCAGTTGCTGCAAATTTGTCAGCTGCACATCTATGATGCGATTCTCCTGTTCCACCACATCCCAAAGGTGCTCTATTGGATTGAGATCTTGTGACTGTGGAGGCCATTTGAGTACTGTGAACTGATTGTCATGTTCAAGAAACCAGTCTGAGATGATTCATGCTTTATGACATGATGTGTTATCCTGCTGGAAGTAGCCATCAGAAGATGGGCACACTGTGCTCATAATCATGGACATGATCAGCAACATTATGACATTATTGACATGATTATAACAATGTAGTTACTGTATAATGGTCGGCGTTCACTCTCTCTTTCTCTAGCGGAGATTCAGCAGTGTCTGGTGAACGCTGGTGATGTGGGCTGCGGGATGTTTGAGTGCTTCAATAACAACTCCTGCGAGATCCGCGGACTACATGATATCTGCATGACGTTCCTCCACAATGCTGGCAAATTCGACTCCCAGGTACCATCGTTATTCATTCACTTATTGGCTAATAATACCATGTTGGCTTTAAAGTCTGCGAAAGATGCATTTATTTTTGTATTGTGGTGCAGTTCCTAGAGAAACAGAATATTTAAGGTTCACGAAACCCTCAAGAACTTTTGTTGAGATATTAACAGATTTGTGTGTGTTGAGCATCAGTTAAGACAATGTTAGCACCTGTCAGCTTTAATTGTGGGGAAAACTGGATCATTTTGAGCTTTTGTCAGCTAATTTCAGCTTCTGGGTTTAAAAGGATTTTTGAGGCGGGATCAAAATCGGTGACGTAGCGTAAAACTTCAAGTGAAAAGATGACGCGTCGGTTTCTCATTATTATTCATAGCTGAGTTTTCTTATCCTATTAGAAGAGCCGGCTTCTTAATTATTCATGACTGCGCGTGCTTTCCGAGGGCAAGGCAGACCTGCCAGTGCCAAGTTGTGAGATCCTACTGATGATTGGGTGAGACCACGTCCACGGACCCACGGCACACAGTATTTAGCCGTTCATGAAGGCTCGTATGTGTTTGTTTCCATGATTAACGGGGTTTGTTGAATGTTTTTCCCCGCGATGCTGTCAGGGCCGATACGGCAAAGCTGTTTGTGTGCAGCAAGCATTTTTGTCGGGAGAGCAGTGCGAGAATTGGAGAATGGTGAACGTTGTCTTTTATCAGGAGTTCGTTCACATTTAGACACATCGCCGTGCTGCTGTGTTCGCCTAAATCCTCCAGATTACCAGCAGGGCTAATGGTTGAAATAGACAGGGCAAGAGACCTGCTGCACTGAGTCTGCATTCAGACCCGGGGATTGAGGGAGAAGTCCTCATTTGTAGTGTTTATATGAATACGATTATCTTTATAATGATATAAATTGTGAATGTGTGTATATGAAATTACAAATTACAAATGTATAGCATTAAATTACTGTTTATTTATTTGCATTTTAACTTTGTTAACTATAAAATCATGCGTCTCCTCACGGTTTGTGTCTCATTTTGTGAGTTGACTGACAACAGTTGTTCTCCCCTCCTTCTCCCCTGCTCTGCTGGCCACGCCCACTCCTGGCCTTTGCTCGTGAAGCTCCACGCCCATTAGGATGCGTCTTTTGAAAAAATTCTGAGGTAGACTTGAACCGAAATTGGGGGGTGTCATGGCCCTTTAAATGAGAAAACAGGGGGCGTGACTTGTTTTTCTTCTGTAAGCTGATTGGCTGAAGTAAAATAGGCATTTCATTCAGAAAGATTGAGGTTTTAGGAGAGTTATTACACCCTAACAGACTCCTCCTCCTCACCATTTCTGTTTGCTGTCAAAACAGTTGGAGAGGCATGGCTAAGTCTGCTAGCCACGCCCAAAACCTCAGACTGACATAATCTGAGAATTTAACTTAAAACAAACAGGAAGTGCTTATTTTCAGATTTTAATTTTAGATTACAAGGGCAAACAATTAATTTTTTCCTAATGACATGCACAGGTGAATTGTTCACAATAAAACTAGCAATGTGAGCTAACAAAATCAACATGGTTAGATTTGACTTCATATGTACTTTAATAGTTTAACATTTAGTCAGATGTTAGAGATACGTTTCGTCTGCCTGTCATTGATCAGCACCGCATTATTAAAGGGGTGGTTCCCCCAAACCCTAGCTTTACACACGAAGGTGGTTCACTGAATGAAACTGCCCTCGGATTATTTGAAGTCATTTTTAAAATGTTATTTTTCTTATGTCAGAGTCAAAAATTCATGAGAACTTTGAGTGAACTTGTCAAACAGACGCCAGTTAGGTTGCTACAATTTTAGCTATGAGAATACTCAAGCTAAAGTTTCTTCAATATAGGGTCATACATTCATGTGCTTGGCTGTGCCTATTCTTTCATTCAGAAGTTGTGTGCAGGCATCTGGGAAGTATATGTTACAGTTTAGTGCTTGTGAATGTGGCAAGCACCCTATACTGACACTGAGGAGAAGAAACTGTTGAATAAAACCTTATTTTTATTTCATGTCCTCTCCAATGTATTGTCGTAGTTAATATTTAGATTAAACCACTAAAGGCACATGGTTTATTTTGAGGATATATTTTGATACCTGGGCGATGCAGTGGTAGAAGTAGTGCTGTCGCCTCACAGCAAGAAGGTCGCTGGTTCGAACCTCGGCTGGGTCAGTTGGCGTTTCTGTTTGGAGTTTGCATGTATTCCCTGCGTTAGCGTGGGTTTCCTTGCGTGCTTCGTTTTCCCCCCACAGTCCAAAAGACATGCTGTATAGGTGAATTGGGTAGGCTAAATTGTCCGTAGTGTATGAGTGTGTAGGGTTGTTTCCCAGAGATGGGTTGCAGCTGGAAGGGCATTCGCTCTGTAAAACATGTGCTGGATAAGTTGGTGGTTCAGTCCGCTGTGGTGACACCGGATTGATAAAGGGACTAAGCCGAAAAGAAAATTCATTAATGAATGAATTTTGGTACCTTAAGACAGGGGTTCCCAAACTTTTCAGGCTGCGACCCCCAAAATGACAATGCCAGTGACTCGCGACCCCCAATATCCTCTGAGGTGGTTATAAATACAGAAACCTTGCATGCAATGGCGCACACACACCAATGGACCCAAGTCTATTCTTCTTTAAATTTTTTTAATGTATGAGAGCTGTAAATGGGCCACAAAGTTTAACCAGGTGCTATGAAATCTGCTGCATCTGACACTATTACTCTGTCTTTAATACAATGAAATTACATCAGGGGTTGCAATCCAATAAATGTAGTAACCATAAGCTACTATAGTAACTATATATGATATATACAATACCATATATAAAATATGGTAATTCTTATCGTTTAATAAAAATAATTAGATTTTTGGAGATCACCAGGCGACCCCCCTTCATTGTCCCGCGACCCCTCGGGGGGTCCCGACCCCCACTTTGAGAACCATTGCCTTAAGAGACTGTCTATGGAGGATGAGGAAGCTCTCATGCTACGTTCACACCAAACAAGGATGAAGCGTCAAGCATGTTAAGTCAATGCAAGACGTGCTTAGACATCCTGCGGTGTGTTTCACACGAATGATGTGATTCGCGCGAATGAAGCGCAAGTTGAGCTTTTTACTCGTTTGACACGCTTAACATGCATATCGCACAAATCGCTCCAGATGGAAGATCTGACATTGGTGCCGCGTTAACAAATCATGAGCTTGCTTTTATAGGGCCGTGATTATGACGTAAAGCCTGTTGTTGGTGTCCCGAGGGGAAATCCTCTTGACGACACTAAACAACAGTTCATCAAACTGGGCTCGGCTAAGTCTGAAGCATCGCTAAAAGCTTCCATCATCCAGGAGCAGCTTTTGGAGGAGTTGATAAACTCACAGAGCTGGGTGCACCTCTGAAAGGATCTAGTCTTCCTAAAGCACATAAAGCACAGCTACTATCTCATAAAGTCCATGTTAGCCATTTAGCAATGAAGCTAGAGTCACAGGGAAGACAGAAGCCCTGCCCATGACGCAAAACCACATCTATTGTGAAGTGAATTTGACACACGAGTAGTCTTAAAATGTTCACACGTCTATTTACACACGGATAGTGCAATTTATCTGCAAGTGCCACGTCTGGTGTGAACGCAGCCTCAGATTTCACCTAAAATATCTTCATTTGTGTTCGGTAGTAAAACGAAGTGCTCAGGAATGACATCAGTGTACAGTAGGTAATTAATACCTTATATTATTAACACTTGAAATGGATCTGGCTTTGGTTTAATGAATGACTTGTATCACTACAGGGGAAATCGTTTATTAAAGACACGCTCAAGTGCATGGCCCACGGACTGCGCCACAAGTTCAGCTGTGTCAGCCGCAAGTGTGTGGCCGTGAAAGAGATGGTGTTCCAGCTTCAGCGCGAGTGTTACCTCAAACACAACCTCTGCTTGGCCGTGAGGGAGAACGTCAACGTCATGGTGGAGATGATCCATTTCAAGGACCTGTTTCCTAAAGGGTGAGTCCTTCAATGTCATGTTGTGATGAGATATACAGCCAAAAATAATATGCTCATTTCACTTCACAAGTTTCAATATCAGTTATATATTGGTGATATATATATAGATATATTTTCTGTGTTTTTGCTGTCACCTTTAATGGTGGACCAAAACTTATTTTTACTTTAAAGACAATATGTTTTAATTGTTCTCTAATATCTACATAGGAAGTATGTAGCTTAGGTAGGAGCAAGACATCTTCAGATCTATTTATAACCCTAGGAATCGATCCGAGAATGATATGGTCTCTTTTGACCATATTTGGAAGGGTCGTGAATAGTAATGAGTTCTGCTCTGATGCCAACATTTTCATTCTGAAAGTGTCCCACTAGATATATTTCTTGAGATCGCGAATTAAGTAACCAGAAGTACGTAGACTGCATTTAGTCTTTAAAATGAACGATACAGGGAGCCACCTACCTCCGTATAGACAGCTTTCCTGCTGTTAGCAGTTTGTCCAGAGCTCGCCATGAACATCGACTTGGGACATAGAGTTGACCACAACAACGGGGTTGGAGTCTGACAAAATACGGCTACAGAAAGTGGGTGAGACCAAAACAAAAGCCAAAAAATAAAACAAACAAGGAAATAACAGGGTGAGAATGTATTAAAATCCGAAAACGTGGTAATCAGGCTGCCACAAGGTCTTTTCTTTTTCTGGATTGCTTTTTAAAACACGGTCAGTTGAGTTTAGGGAAGGTAGTGGGTGGGGGGATCGGTATTTTTGAAAACACTATTGGTTGGGTTTAAGGAAGGCGGAGGATGAGTCAGTTAATCGGTCAGTCAGTTAGTCAGTCAACAGCAGTCTCTGGTGGATTTACGCGAGAACAACAGGCGTGAATGGCACTGGTGAGAGAAATTTGAGATCTCAAAAAGCATACACAGCGGTCTCTGGTGCAAACTGCAAAAATAATGTAGCTGCTGGAAAGTATTTGTCACACTCCAGAAAGGTCTATAGGGGTACGTAATCAGAATGAGTCTGGGTTGTCTGATGCTCAGTGTGGCTTATTTCAGTCACTGATATACAGGACATAATGTAGTCTGTGCAATGTAAGCATACATCAGTTTTCTTGAGCGTGTGATCAATCAGGCGTGCGTTTATGTGACAACGCTCAAAAAGCGAGCGAGATAATATTTATGTTTGTTTATTTGCTATAAATGCTCACATTGCTCTGTACATGTACTTGAGTTTTGTTTGATACACTCAGGGCAGGTAAAATTAAAGGTACAGTTCATATATCTGACTGCTTGTATTAAAGTGCAAAATTGTATTACAAAAACTAAATATAAATGATCAATTTTACCACAAGAATTATTGTGTTGCTAAATAAAATATCAAATTGTGTATAGAATACATTTTCACTAGATGAGTTGAATAACTAATTGGAAAGAATTGATCATTTTAGATTGATTGGGATGATTCTGTAGGGGAGTGAGTGTGTAAAATATAATAAACATCTGCGAGCACAGGTATATTCAATAAAAAAGATGCAAATTAAATAAACAGCTTTTTATTGTTTTCAGAGGAGACGAACTGTATACAGGTGTACAGTAATTGAATAATCAAATGTAAAATAATACTGCACAGTTTCTGTTTTATTCAGTACAATTTATCTTATAGACCTTTTTCTTGGAACGCAAAATTACCCATTATGCTTTGCGTGTATGCGCAAGGAGAATGCGAAGAACTTCCGGTCGGCAGCTGATGCGTGTAAACAGTCACATTTGGACAGCTTTGAAACGCTAGTTTTAATCTATTTTACCTGCTTTTATCCTCTTTAAAATAATACTGTTGTCCATCAGCAGCATCTCCTGAACTGATCATTTAAAGAAATGCGATCTAATAGGATGGAAAACAGCTGCTGTGAGGCATTTTCCCCTCGTTGTCAGACGGCATCTTCTGCAGTTTAAATGAAGCCTCGTCATCGCTAAAGTCAACATTTTCTCTTTATTTCCAATAAATAACCAGCCCAAACAAATGTAATTCACCAAAATGTTTGACACACACACATAGCCTGTACTGTGCCACTGACACACTGATTTAATAACTGTGACAGAGTGAAAATATAGGCTAGTGTCATTTCGAAATGACAGAAAAACACAAACCGTGGTAAAAACAACACACGAAATAAAACACAAACGGCTCGCGATTAGAATGAACAGCAAATCAGCAGCAGAGGATCAATAACAGACTTTTATTGCTCATTTTTGTAAATTGCACGACTTTCATACCTGTTAAGTTTCATGCCAGTACTCTGGGTTGCTCTCTCTCTCTCTCTGTGTGCGAGTGTGTGTGTGTGTTAAAGAGCCGCTGAGCTAACAGCTGACAGGCCGGGAACGCACACACACACTGACAACAGACACGTGAACTAGGAGAACGTTTTTCTCGTATTTCTGACGCGCTTGAACCACATGTGACAGATTATAACGGCTTTAACAGACACATTTCTAAGTTGTGTGTCACAAAAACACTCTGTTATCCATTAAAAACGTTATTGAAACCCATTTTCGGAGCGCAAACTACCAGTTGTACACGCTGTGAACGGAAGTTTTTAACATTCTACCGGAAGACGCTGGTCGCTATGGCGCCCTCCATGCAGCAGCCATGAAAAAGGTCTATACTTAATTAAATCATTATAATAAGTTAATAAATAATTAAATTCATCTTAGGATTGAATATTACATTGTAAACCATTCATTCATTTTCTTTTCCGCTTATTAATCTGGGGTTGCCACTGCGAAATGAACCGCCAACTTATCCAGCATATGTTTTACACAACCCATCACTAAGAAACACCCATACACTGTCATCCACACATATACACTATAGAAAATTTAGCTTATTTAATTCACTTATAGCGCATGTCTATGGACTGTGGGGGAAACCAGAGCACCCGGAGGAAACCCACGCAAACAGGAAAACTCCACATAGAAATGCCAACTGGCCCAGCCGGTACTCGAACCAGTGACCTTCTTGTTGTTAGGCAAGAGTGCTACACACTGCGCCATCGTGCCACCCTATTTTCCTTTTTAAACAGTCAAAATAAGTGTATACCATGTCAAAAGACATCTCCCCCACGGTCATATTCTAGGATGACAATGCCAATATTTATTAGGCTCAAACTGAAAGGCTTCTTGACCTCCATTTGACCTGAACCCTACTGAATGTGTTTGGGACAAAGTGTAGTGTTCCTACTTGGGCTTGGATAGTGATCATCTTTAGCTTTTATTACGATGTGCATTTGTCGTGACAGTGTTTTGACCACTATATGGTATGTTATACAACGCAAGTTTATTTCCATCAAGAGCTGCATGTATTTGTCCAGATCTGGTACTGTTTGTCTGACCCTGAGACTGTTTACTCCAGCACATCTCAGACTTTCACAGTTTGTGCAGTTTGATGAATCTTGGCATTGTCATCCTGGAATCTGACTACGGGTTACATCTTTTTCCAACATGGTTGGTTAAGAAACAAACAAAAAAAAGCAGCACACTGCATCAATTAGGGCTAGATGAATAGTTGCCAAACATGTAACAAGTCAGACACATATTTATTACTGCAACAAACATCCAAACACAGGCTCTTGAGTGTTTGATTGCTTAAACCCAAACATCAGCCTTGCTCTACTTTTGTCTTTTTTTCTTCAAATAAATGTTTGGAATGTTGCGATGCTCCTCAATTCTGGTTGGTTGGTTTTGTTGTTCATATAATGCTTTGATAAACACTTTTTAAAATGTCTATGGAAAAAAATTGATGCAATTCTGTAACTAGTGATATTCAGTGGCGTAGCGGACGGGCCCGCAGGGCACGCACCGCGGGGGGGCCCCGCGTGTTTAGGGGGCCCCGCGTCGTCGTGATTTTCAGTAATGAAAAAATCCACCGGCGAACGCAATAATCAAACTCTTGGGAACAACTGTGGTCGGAACCAAAGTTCACAGGTCTGTGTTCTCTGAACACCTCTCAAGCGGTGGACTACTTCATTCTGATTGCTTGCCGCCAATGTTGCCAACTTAGCGACTTTGTCACTAGATTTAGCGACTTTTCAGACCCCCTTAGCGACAAATCTAGCGACTTTTTTTGTGTGTTATTGGAGATTTTTTTTAGACTGTCATTTGTCCATACTGTACCGTCCCTACTCTTCTCAATGAGCTGCGTGTGATGCCGCCGGCCCCTCCCCCGCCTCACAGCACTGACAGGCGGCCCAGTCAGTCCTCTACAGCAGCCTCTCCCACCTGCAGCCCGAGAGCAGATCACCCCTCTGCGTACCGACGACAAATGATTTAGCACAGGCAGTGTGAAGGTATTTCCCTTGTACAGTCAAACCGATCTGCTTCTGCTTTATTTTAACAATTTAATTGGACCGTTTATTCTTTTCTTGTTCACAATCACAGATATTAGTGACAATTTCTGAACTTGTCTGAGTTTATTACATATGAGAGATTACTGCACATTCACTACACATCTATAATAACATACTGTATTCAAACAGCAATAAATTTAGTTAAATAAACATGCTTTTATAAAGTGTAGTGCAATTATAAATACCCCTGTAGTAACCATAGGCTGTTAAACAAACAGAAACGGTAGAACGTGATGACGCCAGTGATATGCAAATTGACGTATGACGTATCCCCCCCCCCTCCCTACATCAGGGGGCCCCGTCAGCGATCCCTGCAGGGGGGCCTCCGCATTTTGCGCTACGCCACTGGTGATACTGGATTCTGCTAGTTCACTCAATATTATGTAACTCTCTACTATGTGTATATATCTATCCATCCATCCATCCATCCATCCATCCGTCCATCTATCTATCTATCTATCCATCTATCCACTTATATGGATTCACCTTAATAAAACGGGAATGTTTGGTGATATTAACGTCCTGTTAGTGGCACATTAGTATATGTGAGGGGGCAAACTTTTCAAGATGGGTGGTGACCATGGTGGCCCTTTTGAAGTTGGCCATCTTGGATCCAACTTTTATGAGTTATTTTCAAGTTTCTGACCACAAAATGTTCAATGTGCTGCCCATTGTCTTGGATTGCCAATGCAACCCTCTACTCCCACTCTTCACACACTGATAGCCACACCGCAGGAGAAATGCCAGCACAGGCTTCCAGTATCCGTAGTTTCAGATGCTGCACATCTTGTATCTTCACACCATAGACAACAAAGATAGTGGGGCCGTTCTTCATCAATGGAAACCTCAAAGCCACTGGATATTTGGATTTGCTACATGATGATGTGTTTCTCTCTTTATGCACTGAAGCTGGCACGTTCCCTGAGTTTTTCCAGCAAGATGGTGCACCACCACAGTATGGGTATCAGGTCAGAGCATTCCTAGATGAACAGTTTCCTGAAAAGTGGATTGGTCGTCGTGGGCCAGTTGAATGGCCACCAAGGTCTTCCGATCTGACCCCCTTAGACTTTTATCTTTGTGGTCATCAGAAGGCAATCGTCTATGGTTTAAAGATACAAGATGTGCAGCACCCAAAACAACGGATACTGGAAGCCTGTGCTGGCATTTCTCCTGCGGTGTTGCTATCAGTGTGTGAAGAGTGGGAGAAGAGGGCTGCATTGACAATCCAACACAATGGCCAACACATTGAGCACATTTTATAAGTGGTCAGAAACTTGTAAATAACCCATGAAAGAATAATACGTAAAACCAAGCACACCATTGTTTTTCTTGTGAAATTTACAATAAGTTTGATGTGTCACATGACCCTCTTCCTATTGAAAAAACAAAAAGTTGGATCCAAGATGGCCGACTTCAAAATGGCCACCATAGTCACCACCCATCTTGAAAAGTTTGCCCCCTCGCATATACTAATGTGCCACAAACAGGAAGCTAATGATCGATGTATATGACGATATACAGCCATATCGCACTGCTATGAGTGTGATATTACATTTATACAACAGTTCGATGACATAATCGTGTACATATGGATAAATGACTTAATAAATTAGAGATAAATGACGTCAGTACATAACCGGTTACTGAACCGATACCGAATTGTCCACATCTGCATCGCGGTGCACCAAAGAGAGAATTAATTTTGACACCCCCAATCTGAAGTATGGGTAAGCGCATGTTAGCCATTGAAAAAAAACTGTAAATTTGCATAAACTATACGTTAACTTAATTCCTTTATTCTCCATTTATCCCAAAATATTTTGGTGCAACAAATCGTACAACAAAAAATAGATATCATGACTGGTCTAACTGTGGTTTCTACTATTGTCTCTTCACTGAAAGGCCTCATGTGGAGTTAGTGAACATCCTGCTGGGATGCGGTGAGGAGGTACGAGTCGCCATCGGCCGCCGAATACGAACGCAGTGCGAGCAGAACTGGGGAGCTCTGTGTGGGACCCTAAGCCTCTGTGCCCTTGGAAAGGTGGAGAACCAGGCCAGCTCCACCCTAGCCCCCGTCCCAGATGTCACTACCACACCAGGAGCCAACACAAACGCCCTCCATCCCACGAGCTTTCCTCACCCAGAGGCTGATGGTCAAGCGGTCTGGACGCTCACAGAAACTCGTGAAGAGGAAAATCTCTCCTCAGGTCCTCAAGACAACTCCTCTGATGCCCAAAAAGAGCTGAAGAGGTCTCCGAATGCCACCAAAAGGAGGTGAAGGGAAGAGCAGTCTCTCATACAGTTGAAGTCAGATCTTTTAGCCCCCTGTATATATTTTTTCGCCAATTTCTGTATAACTGATTT